TTACAAGCTGGAAGCCTATTTGGGTGAGGTCTTGCACTGAGGGTGCCTCTTCCTTTATGCCATTCCACATCAGGCCTGCCTCTCCTTATCCATTTCAGCATAAGCCTTGGCTCCAACATCAAATTTCCCTGTTCTCTTTTTCACTTCAAACTGTACATTTTGTGTTTCTTTTTACCCTGTTTGCACTTTTTCATTGCAGATCTGCATAAGAATAATCACTAACGACCACGTGACACGGCCAATGACACACCTCCTCCAACAAAGCCACACCTGGGGTTACTACTGAGATCTCGGTGTCAAAGCTCCAGATCCCCACATCTCAGATCCACTCTGGGCACTTGGCAGGTGACCAAGGCCCCACCATTGCTACCAGCACCTTTTCTCCGTTGTCACCAGACACCAGACAGAAGGCAGCCCTGCACATTTTCCCCTTCCGGGGTCTTCACATTTGAAAAGTGTTCTGATATTAGCTTAGAGAAAACTAAAGGGGATTTTTAAATTATGTTTGAAATTTTTATAGTGTTGCATTTAAGTAATTCTACTTGTAGCAAATAGAACATTCAGCTGTTGAAGGACACCCAGTTCCTTTTATGCCTGATTAGCTAATTAAGGGTTTTCTCTGTGAACCTCCCTTCCTGCCTTTCCATCCTTCTCATTCTCTGGTTTCTTCTGATAATCCCGAGGGACAGCCACAGGACTGCTCAAACCATTAGTGGAGATTTGAGATTAGCAGCCTGAAAGCTTCCGGACGTTTCTGGACGCCAATCCTGTCGGGAAGTGGACCAATTGTCTCATTTTGTGAAGAGTAGTTCACTTTTTCCCTGGAGTGTCACAAAAGCAGCGGATGAGTGTTGTCCTCCAAACACTTTTAAGGGCATGCTTCCCAAAGACTGTGCTGCAGCCCTGTTAGTGCCCTGCTCACATCCTCTGGCCCTGGTTCCAATTTCAGATGTGGCTGGGGTGAGCCACATGCTTCCTGTGCTCCTTGAATCGCTGCGCTGTGGAACAGCATCTTCTCCGGTTGGAAACAGTGGTTGATAATCCCCCATCCCTACAACTCTTGATGGACAGAGGTGACAACCCATAGATCAACATTTATTTCCCTGCCGTGGTCAGAGTAGACACGTCACTTGTGAGCAGTAACTCAGACTCTAATTTGGAGAACCTGGGGGAGACAGCCCTGTGGACTGCAGTGGCTTCCTGCAAGATGAAGTAGAGGGATGGGGTGAAAAGGAAGGCCAAAGGCATCAAAACTGGCTGAAAAGACCTCCCACCGTGGGCTGTGTGAGTGGGAGGAAGCCCGGGATCTCTAAACGCTGAGTGCTGGAAGGCGGCACTATACAAACAAGCAGTCTGTAAGGGATAGATGCTCTCCACCGCCCAGAGCTGTGGAGACTCAGACCTGTCCCCCATCTCTGGCCTATTTCCATTCCAGAGAGTGTCTTTCGCTTTCTTAAAAACTGTCTCTGAGCAGGGCGGTGGTGGCACACGCCTTTAATCCCAGCACTCAGGAGGCAGAGCCAGGCAGATCTCTGTGAGTTCGAGGCCAGCCTGGTCTACAGAGCGAGCTCCAGGACAGGCTCCAAAACTACACGGAGAAACCCTGTCTCGAAAAAAAAAAAAAAAAAAAAAAAAAAAAAAAAAAAAAAACCTGTCTCTGTTTCTATCACTGTCCATGTGTCCTTGATCAAGTCCTTTGTTTTAAACACAAGAACTAAGGAATCTCCACAGGGGCCTCTGGACTCCACCTGTGCCTGCAACAGGGATACTCAGCAGCTTCTCACTTCCTGACTCGCTCTCACCACTGGCTCCTCACTTCCGCTCCATAACCTAAAAGCCTTGCTTGGGCTCTGCTGTCAAAAGAAACCAGACCATGCAGGAACCGCAAGAGAGAGCCGGGCTGAGGTCCGACTGTCACTGTCATGGAGGCTGGCTGGGGGAAGAACTTGAATTCCAATCCTAGCCTGGCCACGCTGTGTAACATCCGACCCTCTCTGGACCCACAATAAAAATGACGGACAAGTCATGTTTTTACTCACTGGGATTTACAGGAACATTTCCTGCACTAAAGGACAGTATCTTTGAGCCTCTAAAGACTAAAAGGAACAAAAACTCGAAAATTCGAGTTCAGCCTAAGTAAAGCCACCAGCTCCAATGGGCCCCATTCCCGTGATTCGTCTACTTACTAATTCATCTCCAAAGCTTAGTCTCCAAATACCACTGTTATATCAACCTGGGAGTCCAACAATTTAATTTTTTCAATCATAATTTTTTTTATTGATTCTTTGGGAATTTCACATCATGCAGCCCAATCCCACTAATATCCCAGTCCCTCCATATTCATTCTTTACCCTTGTAGCATCACCCCCCAAAGGAAAACTTAAGAAAAAGTCAAAAAAAATAAAAATAAGAAATAAAGAAATAAAATAATAATATTAATTTAAAAATAAACAAACGAGCCAGGCGGTGGTGGCGCACGCCTTTAATCCCAGCACTCGGGAGGCAGAGCCAGGCGGATCTCTGTGAGTTCGAGGCCAGCCTGGTCTACAGAGTGAGATCCAGGAAAGGCGCAAAGCTACACAGAGAAACCCTGTCTCGAAAAACCAAAAAAAAAAAAAAAAAAACGAAAAACACTGCTCCTCTGACTTTCCCGCCTCTCCATCGCCTCTTCATTCATCTTAGTGGCACTGGGAGCTGCTGTATGTCATGCAGCAGACCCTTTTGTCCAAACATCTTTCCTTGCAAATGTTCATCATGTAATGTGTTGTTGGTCAGGTTCAAGGCCTCTGGCTTCTGGTGCACCATTAATACTGGACCGTCACAGAAACTTCTCTCAGATATCCTGCTGTTGCCTGGAGTCATGGAGATCTTGGAGCTATAGTTCTGCAGGACCAGTCCCTTCGTGCACTCCAGCAGGTCATAGATGAGGTAGATGTTGGGAAGTGTCAACTCAAAGCCCTAGATGTATGCCTGGGTGGTAGCTGACTTGGTCAATCCAAGGGGTGGAACCAGCTTTCCCAAGTGTGTATGTTGTGGGGGGGGCTCTCCTATGAGGGGCAGGACCAGCTCTCCTGTGCCAGGTCATTGAGGTTCTACTACCCCAGGTCCAGAGAAGGGTGGGGTCAGCTCTCTGGTGGGGGGAGCTGCTCTCTCGGGGCAGTGAGGGATGGGGCCAGCTCAGCACAGCCCTTGTATTTCAACACATGTTTCTCATGGGCCTCTGTGGTAACATGGGCCATGGACATCAACATAGACCCCAGCTGTGGCAGAACCATGGACCAGATACAGCCAGCAGCAGCAGCTTGGATCCAGATGTCACCAAGGCCCCGAGTGGCAGCGCAGACCTCTCAGATTGGCGTGGGCCCAGCAGCAGCGTGGTCCCAAGACTACAACATGGCCCCAGGTGGCAGCCCAGAACCTGGGCATCCTTGTGGCCTTTGCTGGCAACATGGGCCATGTACATCAATACAGACTCCAGCTGTGGTAGGATCATGGACCCAGACATGGTCCTCAGCAGCAGCCCTGGCTGGACGTCACCATGGCCCTGGGTGGCAAGCAGGCTACCCACATCAGTCCACTCCTCACCATCTTCACTTCTTCAGATCTGCCTCTTTCCACAGGACATGAACCATTCTGTCTGTCTGTCTGTCTCTCCCCCCCCCCCCCCCCCCGCCATACTCCACCATATACTTTCTCACTGTAATGGCACCTGACCTCCCCATGCCACAAGGGACCAGGCGGGTCCAGAGTTTCTTCTACTTGCCCCCAAAATTGAATTTGTAAAGCACAGATTCGACCTAGGGAGGGACGGGTCTCAGCACCGTCTAGCCCGTTTGTCTACTGGCATTATCAACAGTGAACACTACACTCTTGGAGCTTCCCTGTTTTCCTCTTCACCTCACCGGTGCCACAGAACCCAGCTGCCATAAAAGCCCACACCCAACTTTCCAGCCCAGCTACCGAGTCTCAGGCCACCCCAAGACCACTGCTTGTGTCCCAGTTCAGCGTGGAGACACCCCACTGTGGACGGCAGTGGGCTCTGGGCACAGACAGCTGGAGGCTTAGCTGAAACGTGCAATATACTACAAACCACTCCCAGTGGAGGGTCTGTTGTCCCCTCAGCTGAGGACTGGTAAGTGCGTTGGCCCCACCCCCAGCCCTCCATTCTTAGTGGTACTTAGTTCCTCCTCCCCATGCACGTAACCCCCAGCCTGCAGGAGCTCTCTAGAGAGCCAATCTTGGTTGTCTTTTGTTTCTGGGGTTTTTGTTGGGTTTTTTTTTCCCCCCAGATATTAGCTTAGGACAAAGTCTTGGTAGATACTGAGGTTAAATCTTCCAAGAAAGCAGGTGTGCACAGTACCCACAACCCTCCACCCCTGAGTTGGAAGAGCAGGGCTGGGGGAAACACCTAACATTCCAGGCCTCATCCTAGCTCTGCCCCAGGAGGCCACTAGGAGGTTGTGACGTGGGGGCAGCAGGTGAAGTGGGAGCCACTGGCTCTCCTGCTGCCCCTCACGGCCCCTCCCCATAGGTAGGGGCGTTCCCTCCCCTCAATGGTCCCGGCCATGAAGGAGACAAGAACCATGTGTGGAGTGCAAACCTTCGCTACACACACACACACACACACACACACACACACACACACACACACACCCCGTTTTTACCGGTGCTTGCTCCTCAGCCTCTCCTCTCCCAACAGCAGTCTCCTCCAGTCTAATCATACATCACAGGGTCACCAGTTCCCACCTTTGAACACTGCCCCATTACAAGCCAAGTCCCCTTCTCCCCGCTCCATCTGGAAGCAGGGCTCTCCCTCTGGGCGACCCTTACTGCTCCGCAGGCAGACAGGGTTGCCTCCACTCTCCTTACAGAGAGGGAGAGGGGTCAGCAAACGCCGGCCCTGCTTCCAGTCCCCACCATGATGGGTCTTCACAGCAGACGAGAACGGCGTGTCCCTGCCATGTTTCTATGACTCCATCCTCAACAGGAGCATCAAGAGGTGAGAACAAATCGGATTTTATTTTAGGAAAGATAAATGTAAAACACGGATTACAGAGAAAGCTTTGGGATCCTTTGGGGCCTTAGCTGCCGATCCTTTCCCTTAAGATTCTTCCAGAATGCCAAGCCCATTGCATCCCTAAGCCCACAGCCCCATATCGGGAGCCTCGAATGTTGGTGAGGTCAATCAAATCTAGAGTGGTCCTGTGGAGAATCCTGAGATGAGAACGCTGATGCGTTTTCTTTTTCCTCGAGCCTAGCATAAGTGAGCCCCAAACTGCTAGCCTAACCCAGCTGCAGACGCTCTCCTTAGATGCCGCTCCCCTCAGGTGACCAGCCCTCCAAAGCCCTCAGAGCCGAGAGGAACAGCCAGCCACCACGATATTCTCCCCGGTGATGTAGCTGGCATCTGCCGAGCACAGGAAGGACACAAGTCCCGCGCAGTCCTCAGGCTGCCCAATCCTGGATAGGAAGAATATTTGCACTCTGGTTCTGATGCCCTGGAGTTCACGGGCCACAAATGGCATGGGGTCCCATGGGGCTTAGAGGGACTCGGTCATGTGAACCCAGACTTCAGCAAAGAGAAACGCCAGTCCATAGAGAAATGAAATAGCCTCAGCTGTGCCTCCCCAGAGATGCTCACACCACCAGAGCTGCAAACCCCACTTGCCTCTGTAGCTGGTAGCTCTCCTTTAAGTGGTTCCAGACAGCCTTGTTGCTATATAACTACGCAAAGAGAAGAGACAACTCAGTCAATACAACTAAGACAAGGAAATGGGTGGGACCCTAACGTGGCCACCTGGCCAAGCAGCCATGGCTGCCTTTTGCAGCATCAGTGGACTGAGATCCAGCCGAGTTCAGAGGACAGTGATGGCCGCAGCCATGCTGTCAGGTTGGGGACACCCAGGCCTCACCACTTTGCTGAAGTCAGTCTTAATAACTCCTGGAACCAGACAATTCACCCGGATGTTCTTGGGAGCCAACTCCAATGCCAGTGTCCTAGTGAGACCCAGCAGGGCTGTTTTGCTGACATTGTAGGCACCCAGCTCCTGGAAGAGAATTACAAGCGTTTGGGATGGAGAGAGACAGAAGAAAGTATCTGTTGGATTTCTCACTCACAGAGGATCACAGCTGAACAAGCCCAGAGCTCAGACTCACTCTGCCCAGCCTTGTTAAAAAGAACAAAGCTACATGGGTACAAGCTCAGCCAGGACACCAGGAGTGAGACAAGGGTCTGTCCTGGATGTTGTCCCGGGTGGCTCTGGGAAGTACACGGCTACCCCTTCCTCTACACCAACCGAGAGCTAACCGAGCACTTACCACAAGTGGAAAATAAGCTGAGATGGACGAGACCAAGATGACGGCAGCATCCCTAGGAAGAGACAGGTGCAAAGTGAAGGTCAAGACTTATCATCAGTTGAGGTGTGATGACAGCCACTCCATGCGGTGAACGTCCCATTGCTACCTCCACCCCGTATGAGGAAACCGAGGCCAATGAGTGGCAGCGCTGAGATTCCAATCCTATTTCTCATAAACAGAACGTCCATGTTTATCCCTTATGCCAGAGGTTCTCAGCCTTCCTAATGCTACGACCCTTTAATACAGTTCTTCATGCTGTGGTGACCCCCAACCATAACATTATTTTCATTGCTACTTCATAACTGTGATGTTGCTACTGTTAGGAATCATAATGTAAACATCTGATATTTCTGATGGTCTTAGGTGACCCCTGTGAAAGGGTTGTGTGACCCCCCCACAGGGGTCATGACCCACAGGTTGAGAACTGCTGCCTTATAAATGTCCTCTTCTTCTACCTCTTCCTCAGAAGAGATGAGCAGAAAACTGAGCGCTAGAAGGAAGAGTGGAGTAGTTGGTGAAATGACCCAGACAGAGGGACAAATGCCTGTCAGTGAGCCTTGTTAACCAAGTGAGTTCCAGGAAAGGCGCAAAGCTACACAGAGAAACCCTGTCTCGAAAAACCAAAAAAAAAAAAAAGCAGACAGAGCCGGGGAGAGACTGAGTAAATGGAGGTCATCACACTAGGGAGGTGAGGCATTCCGTAAAATGTTGGTAGTGAAAGCCTGACGACCTGAGGTGGATCCCGGCACCCCTGTGAAGGGCCAAGCATGGCAGCAGACACCTGCAATCCCAGTGTGCAAAAGCGGAGACGGGAATCTCCTGAGCTCACTGGCCAGTCAAGGCAAATCAGTGAGCTCCAGGTTCAGTCAGAGACCTTGTCTTAAAAAAAAAAAAAAAAAAAAAAAAAATGGTGGGCAGAGATAGAGGAAGACATTGGCTTTTTACCTCTAGCCACACACACACACACACACACACACACACACACACACACACACACACACACAAATGATGGTCCGAGGATTAGCGAGAGATGGCTCAGTCATTAAGAGCACTAGCTGTTCTTCCTGAGGTCTGGGATGGAATTCCCAGCACCCACATGGCAGCTCACAACCATCTGTAATTGCGGTTCCAAGGGATTGGCTGCCCTCTGCTGGCCTCCATGGGCACTACACACATGTGGCGCATAGGTGTTCAGTCAGGCAAAACACTCAATATACATAAAATAATTTTAAAATGTTTTAAAAAGAAAGAAATGACGGTTGGGTTTTTCTTCTCCCAAAGACAACCTACTGCCAGTATGCAACATGTCAGCGAGGAAGCAGTAAGACTTGGGTCCAGACACAGATGCAGTCACTGAAGACAGAAAACAGAGCATAGGAAACAGCCTGGGACAGGCTTTTGTCTTTGGGGTGAAATGGGAAATCCATGTCATAGGTGTTAGGAACTACAGAGGGATTATTTAGCTGGAAGACCAGAGTCTAGGCGAGGCTGATCAGCTCACACAGTTGAGGAGATAAAAAGCCTCTTCCCATGCCTGGCAAGGTCAAGGCCACGGAGTGTATACCTATGCTCCTGGAACACTACCCTCACGCAAAACTCTGGAATTAGAAAGAATAGCCACACAGAGGGTAGGTAAGACAGGGAGATGTAGAATGTGGAGACCCCAGAGAGACCTCTTCTGCCCCTCACCCCCTCCTGGAAGTGCCCAAGCCTTCTCCTGACTCTGCTCCTGCACCCCAGTCTCCCCAGCTCCCAACAGTTCTCATCCTCACCCTACATCCTTACCCTCTCTTCTCCATGTGGGGCAGCAGCTGGCTCAGCAGCAGGGCTGGGGCCTTCACATTCACATTTAGGATCTGAAATCAGAGCAAGTGAGGGGCAGGGTTGGAGGAAGCCATGGTCAGCCCTGGCCACGTGACACTTGGAGTCTTAAAATTTGTCCGGACTTGAGAGACCAGTTCCATTTCTGAGTGGGTCAAGACATTTCCAACTTGCCCATGGCTAAGGCAAGTCAGGCTAAGAGATAGGCCCGTGAGCACAGCCTCAAAAATATTTAGAGTAGTCTTAAGAAAGGAGATGGCTTTTTAAGAGATTGGGCTGAGCCAGGCATGGTGGGGCATGATTGTAATCCCCAGCACTTGGAGGAGAAAGCTGAGATTCGGGAGTTCAAGGCCAGCCTCAGATAAACAGTGAGTCTGAAGTCAGTCTGGGCTGCAGGAGACCCTTTCACAAAAGGAGACAGAAAAGCAGGAAGAAGAGGAGGAACAGGAGGGACAGGAGGGGGAGGGGGAGGCGGCACCAACAGAAACTGGAAACTAGACTGTTCTGGCTATTTGGAAAGAAGCTTTGAGAACAGGTCACCAGAAAGGGGTTAAAGGCATGTGCCACCACTGCCCGGCTGTGTCTGCTAAATCTTTCATTGGTTAAATGCTTTAGTGATAGACTCAGAGTCGCCAATAGGAGTCCCTGTCACATTAAGGAAAGATCTAAAGACTTCCTCTTGGAGGAGTTTGACCAAGAGCTAGCCCAGATGTGGATTCTCCACTTCTCTCGGTGTCTCCGGTCACCGTGGAGCGTATGGTTTCTGGCCTGTCTATAATCTCTCTGTGGAATGTGTCTGAGTCTGTGTCCCTACGGCTGCCTGATGTCGGTCTTGTGAATCTGTCCCTAACAGAGGGCTGTGTTCTTTCTCTCTTTTATTGAGCAGCCCAGAAAGCATCACATTCGGAAGTTATGAGGGACACTCAGAAATCCTCAGCGAAGTTCCACAAGGGATTAAGTCACAAACTGACCCAGATAACAGACCAACAGAGGCTATCAAGCAATACCCAGGTGCTGCTTCCAGCGTTTATGGCAGACAGCTGTTTCGTTAGGTGGCTTTCAACCTGTTTTATTTTCAGCAAGTGATTATCATAGCACACTTACAAACACACATACATTGAGCTCTGGGTCAGAGGCATGGAAGAGTATATACATTACAGTTATGCACTAACTTGGGTTGTAAAAGTCAACTACATAGGAAATCCTAGGCAAGTGATGTTGGTGTTATATTTCTCTTTTATTTTCTTTCTTTCTTTCTTTTTTTTGTGGTTTTTTGAGACAGGGTTTCTCTATGTAGTTTTGGTGCCTGTCCTGGATCTCACTCTGTAGACCAGGCTGCCCTCTAATTCACAGAGATCCGCCTGGCTCTGCCTCCTGAGTGCTGGGATTAAAGGCGTGCACCACCACCGCCCGGCGTATTGTTCTCTTAAAGGCAGGTTAAACAAATAGTTTGAGTACAGTAGGCTAGCAACCTTAAGTCTTAAAGGACCTCAAGGTATATTATTAACACTGGCTGTGAGGTCCAGCAAAAGTTCCAGTCACTTAGAGTGTAAGAGAGATTTTCATTCTGGTCATATTACCATCAGTTCCAAACTCATTTTATGACAATGCCTCCAAGATGTTGGCAGATATGATCCATGGACAATCACTCCATCAAAAATGCCTGTCCAGTGAGCAGAAAAGCTTATTGACTATCTGGTCCTTGAATAACAGGGGTGCATCAGAGAGGGTCAGGTCAGTGGTCGGCATGTGCTAGCCACTTCAAGAGGGATGCTTTCTAACAGTCTAAGAAAAAAGTCATGGTCTCATGAATTGAGACACCAAAAGGAACGACTCAGAAGGAACGAAAGACTGTTTGCAATGAAATGCCACATGCGTAGTCACAAATGGCCTTTCAGAGACATTGGAAATGAAGCTACCTAGCCTGGGAAGCCCCTCAGTGGCAGCTGCCGGCAGTTCAAATTTCAGGTCATCTCTGAGGATGGAGTGAAGGGCACTCAGTCAGGGGCAGTGACAAAGGAGGGGACTGAAGATGGTATCATCAAAACCCAGCACACCAAGGTCAGCTGGCAGAAAGAGCCTTGACTCAGTGTGTGGAACACAGCAGGGAATGCTGACAACAGGGATAATACAATTCATTCCACGTCCATCTGGTCTACCAGAGAGAACTGTGAACAGACCATAGGACCCAATAGAATAGGAAGTGGGAGACTAACAGACCCCAAGATAACTTAGAGTCTTTTTTTTTTTTTTTTTTTTTTTTTTTTGGTTTTTCGAGACAGGGTTTCTCTGTGTAGCTTTGCGCCTTTCCTGGATCTCGCTCTGTAGACCAGGCTGGCCTCGAACTCACAGAGATCCGCCTGCCTCTGCCTCCCGAGTGCTGGGATTAAAGGCATGTGCCACTGCTGCCCAGCCTCTTAGAGTCATTTTTTTTTTTTTTTTTTTGGTTTTTCGAGACAGGGTTTCTCTGTGTAATTTTGGTGCCTGTCCTGGATCTCGCTCTGTAGACCAGGCTGGCCTCGAACTCACAGAGATCCGCCTGCCTCTGCCTCCCGAGTGCTGGGATTAAAGGCATGTGCCACTGCTGCCCAGCCTCTTAGAGTCATTTTTTTTTTTTTTTTTTTTTTGGTTTTTCGAGACAGGGTTTCTCTGTGTAATTTTGGTGCCTGTCCTGGATCTTGCTCTGTAGACCAGGCTGGCCTCTAAATTCACAGAGATCTACCTGCCTCTACCTCCCGAGTGCTGGGATTAAAGGCATGTGCCACTGCTGCCCAGCCTCTTAGAGTCTTTTTTTTTTTTGGTTTTTCGAGACAGGGTTTCTCTGTGTAGCTTTGCACCTTTCCTGGAACTCACTTGGTAGCCCAGGCTGGCCTCGAACTCACAGAGATCCACCTGGCTCTGCCTCCTGAGTGCTGGGATTAAAGGCGTGCGCCACCACTGCCCGGCATAGAGTCATTTTTTACAGAGTCTCTCCCAGACCCTTAAGGGTAAGGAGTGAATTCATGGTGGGCCAGAATGTCTGGGTCCGTAGACCCAGTCCTGACTAATCAAGTCCCCAGAGGAACACTATAAGCCATGTACAGCCCGACAAGACTCTTCCTGATATAGTCATGTACCCAGGCCCTGGAACAGTATCTAGCACATAGTAAGTGATAGTTAATCTTGGCTGTCACCTTGATTGATTGATTGATTGATTGATTGATCGATACTTAGATTAGTAAAGCATACTCCTGGGTATGTCTGTGAGGGTGTTCCAGAGAGATTCTTGAGAGATCTGCTGTGAATGTGGGCAGCACCACCCAATATAATATGATTTGAATAAGAATGGCCCCTATATTTTGAATGCTTAGTCATCAGGGAGTGGCACTACTTGAAAAGGACTAGGAGGTGTGGCCACAGGTGTGTTGGAGTAGCTGTGGCCTTACTAGAGGAAGTGTATCACTGGGGGTGGGTTTTGGGGTTTCAAAAGCTCAAGCCAGGCCCAGTGTCTGTCTGTCTCTCTTCCTACAGCCTGCATGAGAATCCAGATGTAGAACTCTCAGCTACTTCTCCAACACCATATCTGCCTGCCTGCTGCCATGCTCCCTGCCATGATGAAAATGGACTAAACCTCTGAAGCATTAAGCAAGCACCAATCAAATGCTCTCTTTCATAAGAGTAGGCGTGGTCATGGTGTCTCTTCACAGCCATGGGGCCTCGACTAAGACAGAAGGGGAAGAAGGAAGCCCGCCACGGCGGGCATCTGCTCCCTCCTCTGCCTCTTGGCCACCATAAGGTGAGAACTGCCTCTCCTCCAAGCCCTCCTGGCATGACACTCTACCTCATCACAGCCCCTAAGTAAATAAAGCCACACATGGTCTGAAACTCTGCGCTAAGAACCAAATCTTCCTCCCTGGGTTTTATCAGATAATTAGTCGTGATGACAACCAACCAGCAAAACAGTCACTGAGCAAGCAAGTGTATAAGCGATGGGAAGAAAAAGCAGGAAGAGTGTGGGGGCTGGATTTTAAAATAAACCACAATACAGCATAAATCAGCCCCACCGTCCAGGGCCCGCCTTTACAGTACCTTCTGGAAGGAGCCCAGTACAGAGCTGGGATCAGACCCCCAGCTCCCTTGACTGACATCTCACCTTGTCCCACACCTGTTCACTGGCCCCCAGAGTGCTCCCCACCAGAGGGTTGACTCCAGCGTTGCACACCAGGAAATCCACACCTCCAGAGTGCTCCAGAGCCTACGGGAGAGAGTTGTGGGAGAGGGTGGAGATGGCCCGAGAAGGACTCATCTTTCCAGAGCAGCCTAGGAGTGCAGGTCTTTGAGGCCCAGCTTGCTGCTGTGATGCTACATTAACCAGGAATGGTCACAGAGACCCTGTGACAACCAACGTCTTGTAAAGGAAAGCATCCTGACTGGACCCATGGGTCCTGAGGTCTAACACGTTCCCCAGGAATCATCTGGGGCATCCCCCACCCCTTTATACATTTCTTCAACTGTGGAGTTCTGTCACTCTGCAGAAGGCCTGGGTCCCCATTCCCATCCTGCCTTTCTCAGGGCTGAGCGGTGAAGAAGCAGAGGTTCTGGGCTTCCTTCTCCTTGTCCTTCACTCCTTGACCTCTCACCTTGGCCACTAGCCGTTGCCGATCCTCAGCCTTCCCCACATGGCACACAGTGCCAGCCACACTCAGCCCTTCCTCCTGCAGCATGGCCACCGCCCTGTCCACATTCTGCTGTTTCCGGCTGCTGATGACCACGTGGGCTCCATCCTTGGCCAGCCGTCGGGCAATGGCAAAGCCAATCCTGCGGACAGGCAGAGTGCAAGTCAAACTCACCCCTTTCCAACTCCCTCCCGAAAATCCACAAAGATGTGGATACCCTGCTCTGCAACGCTGAGTCTCTCCACAGAGGCCAAGGTCCCTCTGTGTAAGAGGTTAAGACCCCAGGAGATCAGAACACTCACCCGACAGTGGACCCTGTGAGCACAGCCACCCGCTTATCCAGGACTCCGCTCTGGGCTGCTCCACTGCTCTGCATTCTCGCAGAGAACCCACTGCTTGAGTGGGACAGGTACCGCTGGGCCCAGGCCGCTGCTCGGAGCATGGTAAACAGGCTTGATCCTGCTGGATCCGGCTACCCTGGAGGAAAGGGTCCATTGCTTCTTAGTGTGGCACTAGTGAGCTTGAGATAGTCTCCTACCTCCCCCATCACCCCAACACACATACACACACACATACACACACACACACACACACACACACACACACACACACACACACACACGGCTGGCAGCAGAGGGTGCAGGAGACCCAGTTAGACAGAGTTCATTTCAACTGAGTCTCAGGTCAGGAAACAACTGTGAAAATCCCATAGTTATAAAACTGACTCGTAAGAGCTGGATCTCAGTGACAGAGTATTTGCCTGGAACATATAAGCCCCGAGCTTCATCCCTAACACTCAAGAAGGGAAAGGGGAAGGGGGGAGGGACAGGGGAGGGGAAGGGAAGGGGGGGGAAGGAAAAAATATTAACTCATAAGAATGAAGTGAGGTTCCATATAAGACAGTGAATTAGAAGCCCTACTGGTTCAACTGAATGAAAGAAAAACAGTCAGGATAATACACAATAATCTGTATTCCTAAAAGAGATAATAACTGAACAATAATGTAATAACTAAGCTTAATAAGCCAGGTGAGAACCCCCACCAAGCAGGCAGGAGGGCCCACGAGCACACGCCCATCGGGAACACATGGCTAGGGGCTCAGGGCCAAGGTCAGCAGGGGCCCCAGCGAAGCATGCCCTCCCTCACACCAGTGATGCCCCGGAACAACCAGCTGGAGAGGGAGTGAAGCCAAGAGCTGGCTGAACCACAGCGGAGACAGAGGACCACACAGACTGTGGAGCCAGAGGCTGAAGCTTGACACACACAAGTCTGAAGCAGAAATTTCTGTGAGGAGACAGATAAGCGGAGTGGCGGTGGGGAGGGCAGGCACTGAAGGTTACATATCACACAGGTAGAGAGAAATGCAGGATTAGAGCCTCCTGTGCAGCCAGAGGCTGAAGTGTGCCAGGTGCAGCCCAAAACACAGATGCTCTGCATGCTGGCCTCCAGCTGACTCAGTTGGAACCTTCAGGAAATGACTTCCTATACGCAGAGAGAGAGATACTAAAGGAACATCCCCCCCAAACCCAGGGTCCTAAAACAGGCCCACGGTTCCAGGAAGTCTGCTGCTGGTGGAATTCTGGAAGGAGCTGACCCCCGCCACACACACCCTGAGCCGAGAGGTTGCAAGAACAGGCATTCTAATGTCTCCCAGCCTTCAGTGTATCCACGACCACAGCTTCTGGATCTGGCAAAGCCGTGCCTGCCTCACTCCTACACCCTCAGTTGCAGAATCTCCTCCCAGGCTCTAGACTGTGTGTTCTCCGGCACCCTCACACACTGCCTCTGCGTCTTGAGACGACCCTCTCAGAACTATAAAAGGCTGCTCCTGCTGTCTCGGCCGAGCTGGGTTTCCATTCTCTCATTTCCCTGTGCTTGTTTAATTCTTGTATTTTGGTACCAAAACTACCTCCAGGAAGGCAGAAGTCCACTGGGGCCCTTTTTTGCCAAATTCTTTTCTACATCTCTTGGTTCCCATTTTTCCTTTATCTTTCTGAGAACTACCGTGTCCTCTGAACTCGCTAAGGCTGAGCAGAGGCCAGTCCCTGACCTGGAGACCTCACCCACCTAGGACCATGGTTTCCAGCTGCCTCATTCCATGTGCAGGGATTTTGTCTTAACCGTTTATTGCCATGAGTGGTAAACTCACTCTTTCTCATGCTTTAACCCAAGTTCCAGCACTTGAGAGGCTGTCTTTGGTGTTTCCGGAGCTACACCCCACGGCAGCCATTCTCCCTGCTGAGAACACAGAAGTGGGTAAAGACCCGATCAGTTTCCCAATGGCTCCCTGGGGCTTCGACTTCATTTTAGATCCTGGAGGTCTTTCCTGCTTCCTGATAATTTGTAGCAGTAACATTTCTGACCTTTGGGGAAACACTCCAAGAAGGAAACTAGCCTCGGCTAGTTCAGACCCACACCATACCCAACACCCGCCCCTCCATTCCCAAAGATAGTCCTTTGACTTATCTCCTCAACATTTTCAAACAATTGGGCCTCAAGTTGGGTCTTGATCTGGCCCCCAGTATGCCCTTGATAACCAAAAATGCTGGCCTGGATTTGGTACCTTGAACTCTGCCACCTTGCAGGACCTCACCCACACCTTTGAAGGAAACTGCCAACGGTCAAAGGTTCTCTACCTCCAAGCCTTCCGTCAGCTCCGCTCCCATTCTTCCTAAGTTCCACTGTCTGGCATATCAAGTCCTGTTATCAGGAACCTGTGGTGATATTTTATTTGTGCTTTAATAAAGCTTGCCTGGAGATCAGGGGAAAAGGTCAGCCATTTTAAGTAAACAGGAAGTCAGGCAGCACACTCCCTTAATCCCATCACTTATCAGACAGGGTCTCTGTGTGTTCAAGGCCATACTAGGGAACAGAGCCAAGAGTGATGACACACGCCTTTAATCCCAGGACCAACCATAGAGACCTGGAGGTCTGTACAGACAGACAGTGACAAGGAAGTGATGTAACTGGGCTAAGACAGCCAATGAGAGGGCAGAAAAGCAAGGCAATAAAGGCATGGGTAGACAGGAAGGATCTCGCATTTGGAAGCTACAGAGTTGGTGCGTCCTCCACTGCCTTCCTTCACTTCCACTCCTCTTCCCACCCCACCCCACCCCAGCTTTCTCTTCTAGAGTGTTCTTTCTGCTTATTCATTGTTATGCTCATGGGTAATGGGTCTCCTAGACTACCTGTACCCTCAGCCTCACACCTCCTGCTTTCTGATTCCTTTATATGTCTGGGTTTTTTGTATATATATATATATATATATATATATATATATATATATATATATATATATATATGGTTTTCTGTTTAATGCTCTCTAGGTTATAAGTACTTACACATTTAAAAGGGAGGCCAAAGGGGACATGTAAAGGGAAAAATACTTAAGTTTTTCAAGTGGTCTGCCCCCATCTACAGATATACACAAATTGAATATGGGTATAAACTCTTGTGCACTTGGTCCCCCAAACTGAGACAGGGAAGAGCTACACATTGGTAAATACGGATCCCTTTCTTGGCCAGCCTGATCCTGCTTGGTCATAAATGCAGACTGCCATGTACCTATGACCTTATTAACTGACAGGTATCATAGGGTAACCCTTCAAAATCAAATGTTCTGTTGATGCAGGAAGAACTTGTAGAAATAAAATGAATGCTATAAAGGATTTACTAAAGAATTTGCTTAGGAAATATTGTTACATGACATAGAATTTATCTAAAAAAACATTGCCTCCAATGCAAGATAAGTATACTGACCAGACTTGTTAGAAATTGTGGGAATTAAACGGGGTGATGGTGACGCACACCTTTAATCCCAGCACTTGGGAAGCAGAGGCAGGCGGCTCTCTGTGAATTCAAGGCCAGCCTGGTCTACAGAGTGAGTTCTAGGACAGTCAAGGCTATTACACAGAGAAACCTTGTCTCAAAAAACCAAAACAAGAAAGAAAGAAAGAAGGAAAGAAAGAAAGAAAGAAAGAAAGAAAGAAAGAAAGAAAGAAAGAAAGGAAAAGAAAGAAGGAAAGAAGGAAAAAGAAAAAGAAGTTGTAGGAATTAAAACTTTGTACCACAATTGACATTTAGGGTTGCTGGGAAAACATTTCCGCTAATGTTTGTTCACCAAGATTGGACTCCAGTCAGGCCCATTCCCATACAAAGAGCGTGCTTGTAATAGGCAGCTCAAGGGAGCAGCACAGGATGACAATTGTCATTACCTCCTAGTCTGCCACTAAGTTCAGGGTCTGTTATTAGGAAAAGCGTAATTCTGAGAGGTGGACAAGACGTCCCTGGGTGACAGTTGTTCAAAAAGAACAACACTGGTGTAGTTAAGAACTAAACCTGGCAGCATCCTTGCTGAGTAAATCTCCCATCTGCCCAGGGGGCCAGCCTCGCCTGTGCTGTCACAGTTTAAAACATGCAAAGTGAAACCCGGGACCCGGCCTAGAAGAGACTTAAGGATGAGTGTATGTGAGATGTATAAGCCTAAGGCTACATAAGGTGGTGACATTTTCTGTTTGAGGCATTAGCCAGAACCAATCACACATGCTTATTAAAGAGCTTTTTCCTGTATCCATCTCTAAGTGCACAGAGTGATTCCTCAATGAGAAGAAATATTAATTCTGTAACTGTCTCTTATAATAGGCCAAAAGAAAAACACTGTGTGTCTCTTACAGCCTTCATCAGACCCACCAGATAACATTCATTTCACTGACAACTCTATGAAGATATTTTAAAAGACCTGCCAGTTGTCCTGGGACTCAACCGTCAGTTCTCTGTCCATTGGAAACCTCTGGATTCATTTTATAAAAAAAAAAAAAAAAAAAAGATGTCTTTTGAGCATAGATAATGTTGGTAAATTGTCATACACTATTTAACCTCACTGAAAAGCTGGCTATGGAGAAGGGATTTGGCCCACGCACCTCAGACCCAAACATGTTCCTTTCAAAGTTTCCTCACAGGTAAAATTAATTTACTATATTATCCTATGTGTGCAATTTACATCAAACTGTCTTTAAGCAAGATGCTATTACACAGTATCTTCTAAGTCAGACATCTACATGCCTTCAGCTGTGCCTACCTAGAATGATCACGGCAGGACTTGTTAAATCTTATTACTCCTGCACGTAAAGACGAGATGGACAAGGCCATTGAAGCTGATTATGTGCAGTTGGGCCCTAATTACATAGAGCACCAAGGTCCTGAGGGGAAACTAGGGTATATAGACTGGGAAAGACTAAGAGGAAGAGGGCTTTGTCTCTGTGACTAAGCCTTCGTATTCGTTGGGTGAAGACTTTCCAATGTAACCACTTTGGGGTCACCACACAGTTGTCAGTAATGCCACTCATGCTCTGTAATTAAGCCCAATCAATTCATTGGTTCCCCAGGGTGAACTTTGATGAAATCCAACTTTAGTTTGTCATTGAGACGTTATGAGGAGGTGATAGACATCATTTAGTGCCCCATAGGGAGAAGATGGTAAATGTATTTATTAACGCTATTATGTCTCTGGATATTTAAAAAGAAAGCCAGCAAATAAAATGTTTAAATGTTATAAATATAAAAATTACTTAGTAAAGAGGGATCTATATAGATTGATAGATGATAGATAGATAGATAGATAGATAGATAGATAGATAGATAGAGATAGACAGACAAAGATTAAGATGACTAGAAGTTTCCAGAATGAAAAACAAAACTAACAAAGCCTATGGACATTATAAAGGTCTTAGTTAGTTAAGTAGGGTACTGTGCTGGATAGTTTTATGTCAACTTGACACAAGCTAGAGTCGTCTGAGAGGAGGAAATCTTGGTTAAGAAAATGCCTCTGGAAGATCAGGCTGCAGGCAAGCCTGTAGGGCATTTTCTTACTTAGTGATTGATGGCAAGGGTCCAGCCCATTGTGGATGGCGCCATCCCTGGGCTGGTGGTCCTGGGTTCTATAAGAAAGCAGGCTGAGCAAGCCATGGGGAGCAAGGCAGTAAGCAGCTCCCCTCCATGGCCTCTGTAACAGCTCCTGCCTCCAGGTTCCTGCCCTGTTTGAGTTCCTGTCCTGACTTCCTTTAATGATGAACAGAAATGCTGACATGTAAGCCAAATAAACCCTTTCCTCCCCACGTTGTTTTGGGTCTTGCTATTTCATCACAACAATAGAAACCCTGATTAGGACAAGTATGTTTTTTCAGAAAGACTTGAAGATAATGTTTATACTATTAAAGTTTCTAAGGTCAAAATTCAACAATTATAAGAACTGGCTAAAAGATAAGTGCAATCAAAGTTTATTTAGAAGTGTCTGGATTTTCAAAATATTATACAATAGTTAAAAGTACCAGACGTGTGTAACTGATCTTCTGGGAGTTCTATAACCATACTTTCAGGCTACACTAATGTGGTCTGAGGGATTAAAAGGGAAAATATTTTCCCTCTCACCTTCCAAAGTCAATGAAGTCCCAGGCAACTGTGAGACTTCTCTCATAATATTCTGTGACTGAAGCTGAGTGTGCTGGTGCATACCTTTCATCCCAGCACTGAGAGGCAGAGGCAGAGGCAGGGGGATCTCTGTGAGTTTGAGTCCAGCCTCGTCAACATAGCAAATTCCAGGCCAGCTAAGGATTCATAGTGAGATCCTATCTCAAAAAAAAAAAAAAAGAAAAGAAAGAAAAGAAAGAAAGAAAGAAAGAAAAGAAAAAGAAAAAGAAAAAGAAAAAGGTCTGTAACTG